TAAACATTTTCTTGGAAGTTTTTCGTAATTATGAGAAGATCTGTTATAATTACACGAAAGGAAGCGGCGTATACTAACCACACGGACAAAGTCAAACTAGTGGGTATCTTTGTTTAGTAAGCTGATGATATGGAATAGTCGAAAATGGAAAACTTTGTATTGCATCCGTCGTTGGAATGAATTGAGTAGGTTAGAATGGCTGGTTACTGAAAGTTAAACGCATACATACTGGATAAGAGACGGCTTCCACCACTAGCTGATTAAAGTCATTCACACACAATTAATTGGAGCAGATAAATTGTACAAAAGTAGCAGGCTGCCCTTAAGAATCAAATTAGGTCGTTTCCCTTAAATATGTTAAGTATTGTACTAGAGATCAAGATACAGGCGGAAGCGACACTAAATGATTATCTCAGGCGGTGACAAGAGTGGGATTCCCTTAATCATAAAATTCTGGGAAAAAAACGTTGTTTGAAAGCCGAAGGTTGGTTTGTTTGTGTTGTAACCTAGAAAGGGTTACTGAATGAGGAATAACCAAAACGGAAGTTGGAAATGAAATGGTCATCTTTATAATATCAACAAAATACAATACTCGCCAGCAGCATAAAGTAGGTAAACCACTGCTAGTGGTGGACTACTTAGACAGCATATCACCCCCCACACACCCTTACAATAGTGTTCAACGTATATATGAGGATTGGGACATACCCATTATTGTTCATAGGTACGGTATATAACAGTTTGAAAGAAAGCCAAAGGTTTGTTTGTTTGATAGAAAAAAAGCCAAAGGTTTGTTTGATAGAAAGAAAGAGGAAGGTTTGTTTGTAAGAAAGACGAAGTTTTGTTCAAAAGACGAACCTCTGCACATCTTCAATTCTCGTTGGGGCCTCTTGTTTGGGGATTTCTTTAACGATTTGATGGTTCCTATAGCATAGGATAATTCCTTAACTCTTGATATCTTATACATGTGCTACAGTGTCTCTCTCACGCTATTGATGTGACTAAGACAATCGTACAGAGCAAGCAATTAAAGGTAATGCATGAAAATTAAATTCTCAGAATGGTCTCATATTAAATATCAGCTTAAAGTGAAAAACTTTAGATTCATAAAAATTATGCTACACTACAATAACAAAATATTTTTGTGCAATTTCAGTTCCAAATTCCAATCACCTGAAGAAGGCTCGAGCGCATAACGGTCGAAACGTCGTGAATATGTCAACGAAGATGAGGATAGCAGTCCGAACAATGTAAATAGTTTAAATAATTACAATACTTCATCTCAGAAATATAGACAGATGCAGACATTGTCGTTTGAATTATTTAATCAAACTTGTTCATAAGAATGAATACTACGACTTTCTGGTTTACTCTTTTCATATACTTTGTACACCTGACCAAAATCTGAGAATAGATTGACCAGAACTTTAAGATAACAACAACAAGAGTGACGTACAAATAAAACCGCGTTCAGTAATCAGGGGAGTTCCAGGAATCGTTGCTTTTGTAATCGTCTGGGTCAATTATAGTCGAATGTTTCATGCTATTCTCGGAAACGGTGAAAAGAAAGAATTTTAATGATTGGCTGATAGCAATCTTTAAGTCTGTCTTCAACATGATGTATTAATAAAAAAAAGTTTAATGGCTAGGATTCCTTATGCTACATCTTAGACAGAGTCCAATTTGAATGTTTCCACATATATACGCGTTAATAGAATACGTTTCTGGAATTTTCCTACACGACATTGTGACTATAGGAACATTATTATTATAAATCAAAATGAAATAATAATAACGAAAATTATAAGTAAAATTTAAACCTAGTTTAAAATAAATAAATAAATAAAATAATAAAATTACTCTCAGCAAGCAACAGGAATTGTTCCTGCTGGAAGTACAAACATCCCGCCAAAAGACGTGAGATTCACACTCTTCGCCCAAGAACTGTCGGGATAACAATACATGTGTAACTTTCCTTCGTGTAGGGACTTGTGATATTATGGAGTGACTTATTCCCCTTTGTAACAAGAACATTATCATAATTATAATGTAAAACACAAAATACACAAATAAAATTGTATAAAATTACCATACAATTTAACATATTTTTATTGTTATTGTGTACGTTTGTCCGTTTTTTTTTTTTGTGAACACAAGCCGAAATTTATGACTGATATGGTGTGAGTGAATAGCTCCACAACACCAAGAAAAATTAAAAATACGCCAAAATAAATAAAGAAGAATCCTATCTCGACTCCAACCACCATTTTGAAGCGCTTTCTTTATGAAAGTCAAAGCTGTATACTGTTTATCTGATAAATTCTGATGAGAGACACAAATTAAGCATCAATGGTCCGGCAAACATGGAAATTCGTGACAGAAATAAGACAGTGTCAAATGGATGGATTTTCCCTTGACACTGGTTTATTTTATCATTTTTTGTTTAACTTCACTTCTCAATTTTTCCAATCACCTGAAGAAGCGCGGAGTTTACAACGGCAGAAACATTGTGAATATGGCAATGAAATATGAGAATAACAAACCGAATAATGTAAATAATGCAAGTAATCATAATACCTCATCTCAGAGATATAGGGGCTGAAATGTTGTGAATATGGCAATGAAAATGAGAATAACAGTCAGAATAATGTAAATAATGCAAGTAATCATAATACCTCATCTCAGAGATATAAACAAACAAAAAGATGAAACACAAGAAATATTTCAAGTTGATGCGTATTGTATTAAATCTTATACCAGGCCATATGGGGTCAATCTTGGACCGTAATTTAGAGAATCCTAAGCTGAATGCTGATACAACGATACGTCCTAGATAAGTCAACAGTTGTTTAGTTGTGTAAGCAATTTTATTTGTGGCCGGAGGGGGTGGGGAGAAAGATTTTCGTGAGACAAGAGGTGGATTCATATCTTTTTCAAGGGTATTTACGCGGAAGTGAATATAACAAACGCAACTGGAATTAGAACTCAGTTCCACAACTATCAATTATCCATTACCCCACCCGCACATCCACGCTTACAGCACCTGGTATTCCCAAACGGTAACCCATCTAGATACTGACCAGAGTCGATGTTGCTTATTTTCCGTGACCGTACGGGAACCGATGTTTCAACTTGATGCGGCCGTAAGCATTGATGTACGTTATATATTTGATAAAGTCATATCGTTACACTTGGTATTATAAAAACATCAGCAGATTTTTTTTTATTTACCGTTCTTAAAAGATCGGATCATCAAGCAGCCACGAAATCAGATATGGAGAATCTATTTTGATGCTATATATAAAAAAAGGTTTCTTTCTTAGACAGATACGAATTAAGAAGAGAAAAGAGAGAATGGAAGACGTAAAAAATGTGCATTAAAATACATTACGAAAATATTCAAAATGTTAACACTTAGAAAAGGTAGGTAGAGAAAGAGGGAAAGAGAGAGAAAAAGGGGGGATGTAGAGAGAATGAGACAGGAGGAAAGGGGGAAAGATAGAGAGAAAGAGACAAGGAGGGGGAATGTAGAAAGAAAGATACAAAGGGAGGGAGAATGTAGAGAGAATGAGACAAAAGAAGGAGGGGAATGTGTAGAGAATGAGACAAAAGAAGGAGGGGAATGTGGAGAGAATGTGACAGAATGAAGGGGAAAATATAGAGAGAATTAGACAAAGGGAGGAGGGGAATGTAGTGAGAATGAGACAAAAGAAAGAGGGGAATGTAGTGAGAATGAGACAAAGGGAGGAGGGGAATGTAGAGAGAATTAGACAAAGGGAGGAGGGGAATGTAGTGAGAATGAGACAAAGGGAGGAGGGGAATGTAGTGAGAATGAGACAAAAGAAAGAGGGGAATGTAGTGAGAATGAGACAAAGGGAGGAGGGGAATGTAGAGAGAATTAGACAAAGGGAGGAGGGGAATGTAGTGAGAATGAGACAAAAGAAAGAGGGGAATGTAGTGAGAATGAGACAAAGGGAGGATGGGAATGTAGAGAGAATTAGACAAAGGGAGGAGGGGAATGTAGTGAGAATGAGACAAAGGGAGGAGGGGAATGTAGAGAGAATTAGACAAAGGGAGGAGGGGAATGTAGTGAGAATGAGACAAAAGAAAGAGGGGAATGTAGAGAGAATGAGACAAAGGGAGGGGGTGTAGAGAAAGAAATTAAGAAAGGTGGATATATATTGAGGGGGGGATCAACATCTGGTTAATTAATAGTGAAATCCCTTCTCTCTATTTCCCGACCTCCAGACAAAACTAGATATGGCACAAGGCCAGTTTTTAACGTGGGATCGAGCAAAAATTGTCTATAGACGGGTCCGGGCTTGTCTATCTGCCCAAACAAGAATCTGCCCTTCGGCATAGCCTCGTCTGAGTTCCTCTCTGCCCGGAGACAGGGAGTTCACTCGTTCTACTGAAATTCCTTTTTTCTAACTGTAACAGAGTTAGTAAGCAAAAAGAGGTCGTGTTTATACTGGAGCCTTCAGATAAACGTCGTTTGTTCATGGCCGCATCTACAGATATCCATCCTGTAGGTGACCCCCTTCTGGCGATGTAGACAGCCGTATTCTAAGTCCCACTAATAAGGCGAAGAGTGGGGTAAGCAAAATAGATTTTGGCAAACAGGAGAAAAAGATCGGTGATTTTAGAAGTGGGAAATATGAGATGAGACAAGAAGAGGAAAGAAAATAGAAAAAAGAAGACAGAAAAGGGAGAGAGAGTGAAGGAAGAGAGAGAGAGAGAGAGTGAAGGAAGAGAGGTAAGAGAGAGAGAGAGCCAGAGCGAGAAAAGAGAAGAGAAAAGGACAGGGCGAGTGAGAAAAGGAGACAGGGAGAGCGAGAAAAGTGGAGACAGAGCGGGCGAGCCAGAGAAGAGAAGAGAGAGCGAGTGAGCGTGAAAAGAGAAGAGAGCGAGCCTTAGAAGAGAGAGAGAGAGAGAGAGAGAGAGAGAGAGCCAGAGAAGAGAAAGAGAGAGCGAGTCAGAGAAGAGAGGGGGAGAGAGAGCTAGAGAAGAGAGGGAGACAGCGAGCTAGAGAAGAGAAGGAGAGAGAGAGAGCAAGAGAAGAGAAGGAGAGAGAGAGAGAGAGAGAGCCAGAGAAGAGACGGGGAGAGAGAGTCAGAGAAGAGAGGGGGAGAGAGAGTCAGAGAAGAGAAGAGAGAGAGAGAGAGAGAGCCAGAGAAGAGAAGGAAAGAGAGAGAGCCAGAGAAGAGAGTGGGAGAGCGAGCCAGAGAAGAGAAGGAGAGAGAGAGAGCCAGAAAAGAGAAAGAGAGAGAGAGAGAGAGAGACAGAGAAGAGAGGGGGAGAGAGTGCCAGAGAAGAGAAAGAGAGAGAGAGCCAGAGAAGAGAAGAGAGAGCGAGTGAGCGTGAAAAGAGGAGAGAGCGAGCCTTAGAAGAGAGGGAGAGAGAGAGAGAGAGCCAGAGAAGAGAAGGAGAGAGCGAGTCAGAGAAAAGAGGGGGAGAGAGAGCTAGAGAAGAGAGGGAGACAGCGAGCCAGAGAAGAGAAGGAGAGAGAGAGAGCAAGAGAAGAGAAGGGAGAGAGAGAGAGAGAGAGAGAGCCAGAGAAGAGACGGGGAGAGAGAGTCAGAGAAGAGAGGGGGAGAGAGAGTCAGAGAAGAGAAGAGAGAGAGAGAGAGAGCCAGAGAAGAGAAGGAGAGAGAGAGCAAGAGAAGAGAGGGAGAAGGAGCCAGAGAAGAGAAGAGAGAGAGAGCCAGAAAGAGAAAGAGAGAGAGAGAGAGACAGAGAAGAGAGGGGGAGAGCGAGCCAGAGAAGAGAAGGAGAGAGAGAGCCAGAGAAGAGAAGAGAGAGCGAGGAGTGAAAAGAGAAGAGCGAGCCTAGAAGAGAGAGAGGAGAGAGCCAGAGAAGAGAAGGAGAGAGTGAGTCAGAGAAAAGAGGGGGAGAGAGACAGAGAAGAGAGGGGGAGACAGGAGCCAGAGAAGAGAAGGAGAGAAAGAGAGCAAGAGAAGAGAAGGAGAGAGAGAGAGAGAGCCAGGAGAAGAGACGGGGGAGAGAGAGTCAGGAGAAGAGACGGGGAGAGAGAGTCAGAGAAGAGAGGGGAGAGAGAGAGCCAGAGAAGAGAAGGAGAGAGAGAGAGAGCCAGAGAAGAGAGGGGAGAGCGAGCCAGAGAAGAGATGGGGAGAGCGAGCCAGAGAAAGAGGGAGAGAGAGAGCCAGAGAAGAGAAGGAGAGAGAGCGAGCCAGAGAAGAGAGGGAGAGAGAGAGCCAGAGAAGAGAAGGAGAGAGAAAGCCAGAGAAGAGAGGGGGAGAGAGCGAGCGAGTGGGGCAAAGAAGACCAGGTGTATTTTACAAATTTTATCTCTTCTCTAGTTTTGCCACTGGGTGTATTTAACACCATTGCAGTGACCCATTCAAGCCAGTGTACATTTTCTGAGCAGCCGGACGCCTTCGAAATGTACACTTTCATGAATATCGACCACCTGCCGCGATTTCGATGGAAACGCGTGAGCTGAAAATCTTGATGTTGGAGAAAAATGGGTCGGGGTAGGGTTAGAAAAAAGAAAAAAAAAGAAATGATGAGAAAGAATGAAGAAAAAGAGAGGAATCAAAGTTAAAGGTGGTGGTGGGAGGGAGACAGAAACAAAATCCCATAAATCAGATATGGCGAATTAAGTAAAAAGAAAATGATGGAGAATGTTGGACAGAGTGACAGAGGAAGGCAGAGAAGGAGATGGCAAAAGGTTAGGAAAAATAAAGTAAACGTAAAAGAAAGAAACAAATCACAGGCTGGAGAAAAAGCGAATGGCACCAACAAAGTAAAGTTGGTTTGGGGGGGGGGCTTTGGCGAAGGGAAATGTGAAAAAGATCGAAAGAGAGCGATCGAAAGAAAGAGATAGCAAGAGAGAGAGGGAGAGAGAGTAGTAAGCGAGAGACCGAGAGAGAGATAGCAAGAGAGAGAGAGAGAGAGAGAGAGAGAGAGAGAGATGTGTTTGTTAACCATTGTTCCACGGTGAGACATCTCTAGTTCAGCCATTTTTTGCTGTTATCTCGCAGTTATAAATTATCCCACATAAGCTTGGATCTTTTGGTCACCCCAAAATAATAATAATAATAATAATAATAAAATTATATTGACTAAAATTCACATCAAATTCCCCCAGAGCTAGACCCTTCCATTACACTCCGGTTGGGTTGACTTTTGTTGACCTGGGCGACTCGGGTGCGCTATTTTTAAGTGTGGGGTTTGCATTCGCGCTCGGCCCGATAAACAAGCCCAAAACAGATTTTTTTTTTAAATTGCGAAAATGTACCTCGAATATCAGCCACACTTACGTAATGTGAATAACTCCCTAATTTTTCGTAATTTTTCATTCTTAGGGTCGGAGTTGTGGCAATGCAAGCTAAACAAGTTTTGATTTTAAATTTATAATTTCAAGAGTGCGAAAAATAAAAAATAATAAAAAAAAAAACAAGCAAAAAACTGACTTAAATTCCTTGGGGTGAATTAATATTTGCGATAAGTAAATTGACATTATTTGTGGGGAATTAACAGGAGAGCTCCCATAGCTTTGCCAAGAATCATTAGGTGGCGCTGTCAAGAAACGGGACACTTCCTGTCATTGTTCTTTTTTCTCTTTTCCATCTAGCTTGTGGTAGAAGTGACAAAGCTAATTCGGACATCCTTTCCCTTAGTAGCTTAACTTTCTCTTCTCTCTCGTGTCTCACCAACGTAATTCCTAATTTTTAATATCTTCCATCCTTTGCATGCTCGTATATTTTCTCTAGACTCAGTTATATAAAAACAAAAATATAAAATATTGCCTTATTGTAAGTCATTACTTTCGTTACACGCGTTATTTACTTGTACAGAATACGGTTGCCACTGCTTTTAATCAAACTACAGCTTGTGCCTGCAACAGTTTAACGACCGCCGACGTGATTTCAACATTGCACCTGCAACAACACAGAGTATATCACAAATGATTAATTCCAGTATCTCAGTGGAATGGTTGGGTTATGGTTTCGTTTGTTTTGTTTTACGACATATCAAAACCTCAATGGGTCATTTAATGCCGACAACTTTTTTTTCCCTGGTAATATTTTTGTTTTATCAAAAATCTATTTCTGTTAATATTTTTTTCTCAAAAATGTATAGCTGGTAATATTATTTTTTCAAAAACGTATAGCCGGCAACACTATTTTTTCAAAAACGTATTATCAGAGGCTTTTCTGTTGGACGTAATTTATCGTCATAGCCAGGACGCGGATGTAGTCTGAGTCTTAACTATTTGCCCATAGCTGTGACCCTAACAGGTGCTACCACCCCAGGTCAAGGTGGACCTGTGAACACCAGCAATTAAGAGGTGGTTCCACGCTCCTCAAAACCTCCTGATCAGAGGCCTTGCTGTTGGACGTAGTTTATCGTCATACCCATGGACGCGGATGTAGTTTATCGTCTTATCCTGGACGCGGACGTAGTTAATCGTCATACCCATGGACGCGGATGTAGTTAATCGTCATGCCCATGGATGCGGTTGGATTATGAAAATAAATGTCTGCTGTTAATCCTTATGCTTTGCAAAAGGTCTATGTGTTATGATTTTTTTTTGTTTTAATTTATACAAAGCAATAAAGAGAATTACACAGTAATAATTTCAAATCATAATTGTTTTCACTTCCAACGTCTGTGACCAGTGGCGATTCTGCGGGTGGGGGCTGAAGGGGCCAATGCCCACCTCGAATTTTGGCTGGCCCTTCGGTTGCCCCCCCCCTTTCTAAGTTTTGCTGAGGAAAAAATCAGAGCAGACAAATTACGCTGTTCTGCTGGTATTAACGTTAGTATTAACCCTTTGATTTTGTTTTGAAGTTAACCTCTCTTGTTGCCCAACAGCTTGAGAGTGGAAAAGAGGGCAAGAACAGAACTCCACTACTATGAATGAAAAGTTATTCTGTTTAATTTAGCGAAGTAACAGACTTATACTAAAACTCATTCCTAAGTTGTGTATACGATAGTGGTGTAGTATGAAAATAAAGATGCTGCTTGAATTTGCCCTCCCCCTCCTCCGCAGAAAAATCTCGTCCCCCAAGTGGACCCTCCACTTTCAGAGTTCTAGAATCGCCACTGTCTGCGATAATGCTGTAAAGGCGAAATGTTATATAAAAATAAGGACATTCGCAAGCAAAATACACTATTTACATTTTTCGGACTGTTGTCTTCATCTTTGTTGGCACGTTCACGACGTTTCGGCCGTTGTACGCACCGGACTTCTTCAGGTTATATCGGTTGGAATTTCGAACCGAACCCATTATCTAGTACACGGGGGGGTAGATTGTTCTAATTTCACGTACCATGCCTTTGGATATCTCAGTTTTTAATTAATTCGCCTTGATAACTTTCCAAGTTTAACATTTAAACATAATGAATTTCAAAATGGATGTCATAATCATAAACAAGCAAGGTGTTAAGCAAAAATCAGTTGAAATAACAAAAGGGAACCTAAAGAATTTAACACTTATAAAGCCATGGCAGAGTGGGTCCGAAAATATTAGTTGCCCAGACAAAAAGGGGCCCCACCCAAAAAGCACAACGCTGTCATTTAATTTTAATAATGAATACAATTTTCAAAAAGTACATATGGAGAAAGGTTACAATTAAAATATGTATTTCTTAATTACTATGTAAATGTACTGTACATATTATTGGCAGTAGATACCAAATGTAAATACGGAATGTTATAATTGAAATTTTGATTTATTTTTGTCATATTCTGCTGCAATTAGATAAAAAAGAAAAAATATTTACTTTGTTCGGACTGTTCTCATCTTTGTTGCCATATTTACGTTTCGGCCATTGTACACTTCGGCGTTTTTCACGTGTTTGGAATTTCGAATTGAACTCTTTATTCTGTCCCCCGGGGTAGATTGTTCGAATTCCACATGCCATGCCTCTTTCAGAGGTCTCAGTTATCTCCCTTTTGGGTCAAGTCACTGGATTCAGCCAACGCTTTTATCCACTTGGCCAGTTTAAAATTCCAAGAAAAAAAAATCTAGTCAAAAATAATTAATGACTTCATCCAATGGCGGACTGGGTTTAAAAATACTGATTGCCAGGAGACAAAAGGACCCACCCACAACTACAATGCTGTCATTTAATTTTAATAATGAATAATTTAAAAAAACATACCTAAGTAAAAAGGGTATAACTAAAAAAGTGTATTTCTTAATTATTATGTACATGTACTGTACATATTATTCGGCACTAGATACCAAATGTAAGTACAGAATGTTAATTTTTTATTTTGTTTTTTTGCTTTTAATTATTTGATATTTTTAAATAGTTTACTGCACAATTTACACATTAACAGATAATTCAAAAGTACAATAGGTCATTGCATGCAGTCCATAATATTAAGAGCAATCATTTGTGGTCACAAGATGATTGGGTGAATCTGCCAATAATTGCTTTTGCATCCAATTCATCTAACAATTTCTTTTCAAGGGATAGCAACACATGCGATTAGAAATTCACAGCAGAGAGCGAATTTCTTAACATTATTTTTGTGATTTTTAGCTTTGAAAATGGCCTCTCCTATTGCACTTGAGTAACTGATCGCGTGCAGATAATTTCTTATTTTTTATTACGAAACAGTTGTCTGTGTTTCTTTATTGCATTTTTATTTGATATCAGGGTCCCCACTAGCCATTGGGGAAGTTGACATCCTGGCCAGTCCGCCACTGTTTATAAGCCATCAAAGGAAAACAAACGAGCTTGTGTGAATAAATGGCAAAACAAAAACTAAATAGTAATGGGTCAACAGTTTCTCAACCGGTGGGCCCGAAGAGGTAGTCATGGGTGCCCCAAATTAACAAGAGTAATTTAGGAGTTTTTTTCTTTTTATTTAAAAAAAAAATTTTTTTTTTATAAAAAAAGGTAGAGATAAAAAGAAAGCACATTGCATCCATGTCGAAGTTAAGTCATTGATATTTTATACTGGATGCCAAATTCCATAATCTTTAAGAATGAATGGGTAATCATTCCCCCATTTACATACCTTAAAGGATTTAAATCAGACATTATCAAAAAAAAAAAAAAAATTAGAGATTCTTCATAAATCCCTTTAAATGAAAATTGTACTGCTAATATTCGGATAATGCTAAACCAACTTTTTATACATTATTCGGACTATTGTCCTCATCTTTGTCGCCATATTTATCACAACGTTTCGGCCGTTGTACGCTCCGGCCTTCTTCTGAACCCTTTATTTCGCTCACTGGGGTAGACTGTTCTACTTCCACGTGCCATGTTTGATAGATGTCAGTTACCTCCTGCTAATTTCCCTCTGAACGTTCTTTACTGCCTTAACCGGGTATTGAACTCACACTCTTTGGGTCCTATAGCTGGACCTAATCAACGCCTTTACCCACTGTGCTATGTATCCTTGAGGACATTTGGGTATGAATTTCTGGGTATTATAAACCTAATGTCTTCAGTTGTTCTTCCATGTTTTTACCAGAGCTCATATTGCAAGTTTGTTGTTATCATTGCTTTTCTCTGTCACTCCTTATTACTGGTTCCCATATTGTATTTATTTCTATGCTTGGTCGGCTCAGGAGAGTTTTGTGGCCTAGCATATGTGCTGATTCCTTACGTTTACGAATTTTCCAATGGTGTTCCGTGTCTATGATCTCAACATGATCCCAGAGAGGGCGGTGATCTCCCTTCTCTCTCCATATGTGATCAGCCACGCCTGATTTTTCTACTTCCCCTCGTGTTACAGCTTTCTGGTGTTCTTGAAGCCTTACCTTGAGGGGGGCGGCCTATCTCTCCTTTATACCCCTTTCCGCAGCTGCACGGGATAGCGTACACACAGTCCTTAGTCATGTACTCCTCTACGGGGAGGGGTCTTACTCGGGAGAGATATCTGCGAAGTGTCGTCAAGCTTTTGAAGTTGTCCTGATGTTATATGGACCGCAGATCCTTTGTATTTTCTCTGATAACTCCTTCACATAAGGCAGGCAGACTGTTTTCTGAGTGTTGTTGTCCTCCTCCTCTTGTACCCGCCTATCCCAGTTTTTATATTTTCAAATTTCATAACTAATTTTTTCAGATTAAAATTTAAAGTGCGTCCCAGAGTTTTATCTTTTGTCCAAGTGCGTCCTGAAGTAGGAAAAGGTTGAGAAACATTTACAGAGCAACAACAGACAACATTGACGAGAATCATGTTCGGCCGTAACTTGATTGGGATTGGCACACAGAAGAAATATTCTATCAATATTTACCATGATGTCTTTGATAGTAAAAAAAATGGCTTATGTTCAAATAGAATTCCTTCGTAGGAAGAATAAAGCGTTTTTTGTTTACCGCACGGCCAAATAAATAACATTCTTGCTAACATGATTAATTCAGTAGTATTTTTTGTTCTTTAGCTTGTATTTGCAACTAATGCACACAAAAAAAGGTTCTTACATATTCAGCGAAAAGGTGGTGCCTTTTTTTCCAGTGAAAGCAGCTTTTTCAGCGAGATTTTCGCTTGCATAATCTACGCGTCGACATTAATTGCGGGCAAACGCCTTTGTGCAATTTTTTTGCAGCAACAGGGACATTTTCTTTTTCTTTTTATTCATTAGTCGTAAGATAAAAAAAAAGAAACGTTGAATAGTTTTTACAATCTATAAAACTTTTGCAATTTATTCAAAGCCAGAAAGTATTTTCAGATTTCCAGAACTTATTCGAGATAATGATTTTTACTAATTAACCTATAGCTGGGGGGGGGAGAATAAGGTCAATTCATACCTTTCCCAAGAGTATTTGCGCGTAAGTGAATATACCGAACCAGACTGGAATTCGAACTCTGCTCACCGATTTCCAATTCCGAGTCATTATTCAATCACACCACCCGCACATCGAAGCTATCAGCACCTGGTCACCCATCTCATTACTGATATGGATCAACGATACTTAACTTCGCTGATCGTACGGGAACCGGTGTTTCAACGTGATACGGTCATAAGCATTAGTGTGAAATTGAAACCGGAAGAATTTGTTTGTTTACAATATTTCACGTAAAAAGAAAAGGATTTAAAAAAGATTGCCCAAAATCTTGAGTTATTTTTTAAATCATTTCACCCCAAGCAAGGCGGGAATACTACTAATATGCAGGGAGTTACAGAGTGTGAAAGTGAGAGAAAAACTGGTTATAGGGAGGGGGATTGAGGAAAGAATAAAAGATGAATGGGGGTTCAAGTCAACAGAAGATAGCGATTAACGTTGCATTTAAATATTTGAAGATTGTAGTTTTAGGGAAGCAAGTAAGAGGAAGGGAGTTCCACTGTTGGGAAGTGTGAGAAAAGAAACTGTTGGAGTAGAAGTGGCAGTTATATTTAACTATTTCAACAATAAAAGGGTGGGACCTAAATGCTAATCTAGTAGCACGCTTAAATTCATGTAGTCAGGGCAACATGGATAAAAGCTCGTCATAGCACTTGCCATGAAAATATTTGTAAAAAAGACAGAGGGAAGCCACGTCGCTTTGGTGAGAAGTGATTGAAATCGAGATGCCAAGTCAGGATCGATTACATTGCAAATCCTTCTTTGGATTTTATCAAGAACCTCGAGATGAATAGCAAGGACACCAGACAAGATCTGGCTACAATATTCAATGTACAGCCAAATGGCAGATTTGCAAATGTTCCAGATGGACTCTGACGAGAAAAACCTTCTGGCACGGCACAATGAACAAACCTTCCTTGCAGGAGATGCAGCTAGTCAATGTAGTTGTTCCACTTCAAGTCAGTTGAAGACGTGAGGCCAACAAGGCGCAGTAAGTGCTGCGTGCCTTCAGGCGTGGGCGATCATGGCTCTCCACAACTTCCTGTTCTTTGGTGCCCTTAGTAAAATTTGTCTTTTTGCTATATATCTCTTAATCCCTGTTCTGTCAACCATTTACACAAGCTCGTTGAGTCGGCTATGCGCTGCTTTCATGTGAGTATCAAATTTTACAAGCCCTCTTTCCTCATTTCCTGCGTGTCTTTATAAATTAGTTAAGTTAAAAATGTCAATGGTTGAAGTAGACAGTGAAAGTTAATGAGGTGTTGTCAATGTTCTGACCTTCCCAGGTTCGATCCCTCATCGTAGTAGAGGAACTTTCCTGTTGAATGTGCAGTGTCCGATGCAAGTTGTTGCGGTGAAGAAGCTGGTAAACTTTAAAAATTTATAATAGTAAGCAAATTCTTTTTAGCTGGTTTGTTTTACGTGTCCAATACTGTTTCTGTGTTTTCGTATTTCCTCTTCATTCTGAAAATGTTAATTGATCTGCTGATCAAATTTGTAGCGACTATTCACTCTGACAAGGCAGCAATGAATAGCGGTTGAACCGGCCGACAAAATTACTTATATTTGCGTCGACAGGGTCAGGAAGTTATATTTTGAAATTATCACGGCTCTCAAATTCTGTTCTTCTGAAAAAGGAATATAAGCCAAGATTTTTTCAATCCTTTTTTTTCCAGAACAAACGTTTATTATCCTGGGCCAAATACAGCGTCGCCTTAATAAGACTAAAAGCTTGTATAAAACCAAACCAAAAAACAAAAAAAAATACACAAGTCAAAAAGTAAGAAAGCCCCCACCCCACAAAAAACCCTGAAAAAAGCCAAAAACAAAACAAAAAGAATAAGAAAGACAAAAAGAACAAAAAAAAAAAAACAAGACAAAGGCAAAAAAGAAAAAACGAACAAAAAAAAAATAAGACAAAACAAACAAAAAAAATACAAAAACAACAACAAAAAAAAAACAAGACAAAAACAACAAAAAAAGACAAAATAAAAACAGCAAAATGACAAAAACAAAAACAAAAAATCGCTTCCGAAAACTTCACTGATTGATAATGCATTTGCTTACAGGTCCTGATAAAAGACAAAATGCTGTATTTTCTTTTCCTACACATTTTAAAAGAATTTTAAAAAATTTTACGACACTAGTTAAAATATTTTAAAAAAGTACAGCAAAGTTGCGACAAAAAAAAATCCTGGTCACAACATAGGCTTACCATATTTAAGTTCCTGCAAGCAATTCTTTCTGTTCAACTCATAGCATCGAAATTTAGAGTCATTTAAATTTTTTTCGGACAGTGGTACTCAGGGTTCTTAAAGCAATTAACGCTTTGGATTATACACCTTCGTTACGTGTCGAATCCTTAAAGAGAGGGGTTATAACTATATGAGAAATTAAAACAAAACCAGCCAAATGTCAAAAAAAAAAAGAAGAAAAAAGAAAGAAATCAAAACCTAAAAACAGAAAAGGAAAGAGAAGGAAAAAAAATCAAAGTCTTACCAAAACAGTAAACAACATTGCTCAATGTCTAAATGAGCAAGACAGAGAAAATATGCAACTCAGCGACACAACTCAAAAAGCGAAAGTTCAGATCGCTACTTCAATTTGACGCTACCGCAATCATCAGGCTGTATCTCTCTCTCTCTCTCTCTCTCTCACACACACACACACACACACGCGCGCGCACACACACGCACAGGTCTGACGAAAAAAGTATCGGGACTGTTGCAATGGGAACTGATTTAAGGTCCGCAGAGTGAAGACTCTTGGTACCTACTGACCTTTTCGACATAAAGTCCTATTTCGACAATAAAATAGAATAAATTTACTAAAACAGTGAGAACGAATCATTTAAAATATACAAATAACAAATATCTTTGCAATGCATAGATTGGACTTGAATTGTTGTCGCATGAATTATTTTTTAAAGGATAAACAATTTTTTACTAGATTTTCACCACCACGTCAATTCGTTTTGTATACAAGATATTTTAAATGTTGCTTATGTGTTAATCAAAGATTAGCATAAGTGAGTGTTGCATATATACAGTAAGTGTTTTTACTCATTTCCGTTGCTTCTAGCAATGCTTGACGGGAAATTATGGTTGTGTCACCACAACAGAGGCTTCATCCGTGACAATGGCTTGTGCAGCTACCATATTCCCCCTGATCTTGCCCCCTTACAACTTTTTCCTCTTCAAAAATGAAACCCCACCTTGAAAGGCACAAGATTTCATGGAAATCAAAGAGAATGCGCCGAGACAATTGCTTGTTATCCCAAAAGGGAATCCCAGGAATGATTCTAACAATAGAAACGACACTTGATAAAAAAGTGTGTGGCTTCTGAAGCGGACTACTTCGAAAGGGGGGATTAAATGCCGAATTAATATGAGTTTTCTTTTGATGGCACCAGAGTTCTGATTCTTTTTTTTTATCAAACTTCGTATATAATGTTAAGAACACAAGAAAAATCTGGATTGGATGAAGTTACATGTTGGGTCATTTTATGCCCAAATCAGTTCATCTAAGCCGATCAGCATTTACTTCCATCGAGATGTGTAAATATTCATCGTTTATACTCTTATTAGGGCGTGTTTGCTTTGCAATTGGCTCCCTTTCTGGTAAGGGGCTTACTCCTCTTCACGAGATGCAGTCGGCGTATTTTAGGCTCTACCGACAGGGTAAGTAAATATTGGTCGTTTATATTTGGGTTTGTAAGCATTTACTTGGTAGGCAGCCCATATTTTAATGGCGGGGGTTCTTACTCCTTTGCAGGATATGCAGTCAGTCACTGACATGGCTAAATAAATTGGGATGTTAACGAATCATTTCAAAGTTATAGACATTAACCGGATTTCTAACATTATTTGTCTTTTCGACATAAAGTTCTATTTCGACAATAAAATAGAATAAATTTACTAAAACAGTGAGAACGAATCATTTAAAATATACAAATAACAAATATCTTTGCAATGCATAGATTGGACTTGAATTGTTGTCGCATGAATTATTTTTTAAAGGATAAACAATTTTTTACTAGATTTTCACCACCACGTCAATTTGTTTTGTATACAAGATATTTTAAATGTTGCTTATTTGTTAATCAAAGATTAGCATAAGTGAGTGTGAAATTAGAACAGGTTGCAGATGAGCGAGCCAAAAATTCGTACTGATAGCATGAAAGAAAAAGCACATTAAATTGTTGAATGTCGCACACCTTTATTAAGGAGTGTTTTGGGAGAAGCCGAAAATATAAATAGAAGAGGTATTTATTTTATTTTGAAAACAATGAACTTCGTGTTTTGTCATATCGAGCGAACCATGAACACCCACGTCCTGAAGTAACATGGCGCGCGTGCGCACACAAAACTTTATATATAGTGCCTGTATCGTGCCTGATGAATTGGTAAAACAACAAAACTTAAGTAGCACCCCAAACATAAGTATATGTATATTTATTAATACATATTACTTAGGTCTGTCTAACCGCATTGAATACTGTTATGTTTACACCTTAAAGTAAATTTAGTAAATATTTATTTGCTTACCTGTGTATGAACGCTAACGCGCTCATATACGGTTGCTAATATGTAGTTATTGGCTTTACTCACCTCTTTCTCTCTCTCTCTCTCTCTCTCTCTATATATATATATATATATATATATATATATATATATATATATGATATAAAAAGATCAAACACTAATATTCCATGGTTATAATTTATTATATTGGAATCGTAATCACGATCCAATTCATCAGACCTACAAATTCAAAAATAAATAAATAAATAAATAAAAAATAAATATATTATATTCTTACTCTGTCCTGGACATTGAGTTCTACCTGGGTTCTATCCTCTTGGGAATTAAGAAAATGAGTTCCATCATAAGTATCAATCGGTATGTTTTTCTTTTTTTCTTCAATTTGAACGAATGTCGCTTTTGGATAAAGTAGATACGAGTGGTGAAAAATGGATTTATTACCGTACCAAGCTGTAGCCGCCATTTGTGCATGAAAACGCTCTTTAGGAAGCTTGTAGCTTTAAAACAATTTTTTCAAAGAGAATATAATGGTATATAGACGACTTATCTATCTCGAAATCTATATTACACTTTTCAATATTACATATACACGAAATGTTTTGTAATAAATATTTATAAATATTTTATAATACAATC